AGCCTGAGTAGGCGGTGAGAGGTTCTTTGCTTGTTTATAGAGATAGAAAACGAAGTTGCCCTTTCTCGAAGACAGTGAAATCTGCCCTATGAATAACGTTGAACTGGTTTCAAATTCTCAAGCCGAAACGATGGAAATGGTTTTATAACATTCTAAAGAAGTTGCCAGAGTGAGAGGCCATCTGACCTCCATCAAGAAAAGTGTTGGTTCTGCCCCTCCAATCCCTGTTTTTTTCCGGAAAGGGTATCGCTCTTGTTTTCTTTCTCTATGATGCTGCTGCACTGCGGGGCGTGTCAGTCTCCCGCTCCTGAGAAAGTTCTGTTCCTGAGAGGAGCGAAGGCTCTTCGCAGACCAAGCGTCGCCGAGCAACGAGGGGGAGAATCTCTGCTCGCCTTGGTAACCTAGCAACGAGAGGAGGGAGGGAGGGGTCGTGGAGAAATCGCAAAGGTTAACCACATAAAGGGTGGGGGCTGGGCAAGAGAACGTGGATGGAGCCTGCCTATCCCACCGGAGCGCAGCGGCGCAGGATCCTGCTGCAGAGAGCTAGAGAGCGCGGAAGCTGCTTCTCTAGCGCCTCTGCCTGTGATATCCTACCTCACTGGGTTGTTGTGCAAAACATTAGCCAAAAGCAGGAAAGGGCTAGGAACAGTGCAAGTCCAGTGTAGTCTGGTGACCATCGCTGTATCTTGTGGCAGTGAATTCCATGAGATAGCAGCCTGCATGCAGTTGTTGAATTTCTTGGCACCAGATGTCTTGGCCACAGGGCTTTCAATGACTACTAGCCATGTTGATTGTATGCCCTCTAGGAGCAGAGGCAGCATGCCTCTCCATCTCAATTGGATTCCTATCTTACCCTCTTTTATGGGATTCCCAAAAGCATTGGGTTGGCCATCCTAGTGCAGGTTGCTGGACTACAGAGGCCTTTGGCCTGTTCCATACTGGAGTGGTTATATCAGTATCTTTTACTAAATTTTGTAAAACATCCAACGCCATGAGCATGCTGTGATAATGTGCAAACAACCCCTGATAAGATAATTTACAAATTTAAATTGCATGTACGGAGACCAAAAAAGTATGTGTATTTATAATAAAGTATGTACTCTTATAATGTTTCTTCAAAGTTGAGCGGGGGGCTTTAGATATTTTGGCCAACAACTCCCATCAGCCCTAACCAGCATGGCTAATGGTAAAGGATTATGGGAGTGATAGGCTAAAACATCTGGAGAACCACAAGTTGCCCCGTCATGCAACATACATGTAAACAGTTCACTGGAAAATGTTAAACAATGCAAGATACAGTCTTTTTAATTGTCTGCATCCACTCCCCTAATATTAACTTTGGACATTAAAATTCAAAATAAACTTGCTGATTTCTTGGTAATGTCCGCACATTGATATTTTATGGAATATAAGCATGATCATGGTCAGGTACCTATTCTATGGATAATCTTCAATTGGAAAGTTAGATTTGTTCTGCTTATATTGTAAGTTCCCTCTTCGTGCTGTTTGTTATTCAAGTTGTTAGTCTTGAAAGTAGTTTCCTTCATGGTGGTAGAGAGCAGTGTGATTATTAAAGGAAATATTACGGCAGTGCATCACTTGCTGGCAGTGTATCAATTCAGAGCCCTTTTCTTGAACAGCCAAGGACTGTTCACATTGGTTGCCCTTGGGATCAACCTTTTCCAACCCTAGTTTGTGGGATTTGGTAACTTCAGATCTCTTTGAATTACTTACTCCATGCATGCCCTCCCTGTTAGGGTGCATAAACTGTGTGTAGTTTGAGACCAGGAGCCATGACTTTTTTTGACAATGTATGCTGCTTTGCCCCATTTGCAGAACTTGCTGGTTTGATCATGCAGAAATATTCAGTGTGTAGACTTCTGCTGGTATTGAAAATGCAGCAACTGATTTCTTGAAATTGGTTGTCTGTGTCTTGGGGTAATGTTTTGACTTTCCTAGCAAAGAAAGGGAATATCACACCCAGTGGGCCAGGGCTTGTGCACTTCACAGTGCCTTTTGTGCAAAGAAGTGGGCTGCACCTGCTGGTAGGGCACTCTAAGAGGGCACGCTTCTTGAGGCTTGGATGTGTGGTTGGGGTGAGCCAAAGCTTATACCTAATACCTTAGGTGTTATTGGCAGGGGGTGCCATCCTTAACCCTGTCTTATGCTCCAATAAAGTGCAGGGCTGGATCTGAGGCAGTGGAATCTCAAAAGGCCAATCTCCCAAGGGCTTAGGGCATGGGTCCTCAAACTATGGCCCGCAGGCTGGATCCAGCCTCTCATGCCCATTTATCTGGCCAGCCTCAGAGGTTTTGGACTCCCTGCCCTCACCTGCCTCGCTGTGCGTGTTCGCTGGCACTGCATGCCGAGGCAGTGGCTTGCTCACTTGGATATTGTTTTGGATTTGCTTGGACATTGCCAAGCAAGCAAGCTGCTACCTTGCTCCATGACCCGCTGCTGCCTTGCCGCACATGCCCGCCACTGCTGCCACCTCACCAGCCTGCCCCTGCGGGCACCCCAGCCTCACGGGCCCACACCTGCCACCGCCCCCTTTCAACTGGCCCCCTGTTGAAAAAGGGGCCACTGGCTTAGGGGTATGATTTGGGAACACACTTTTAGTCCCTTTTTCATTTATATACAATATAACCATCACTGGTGTTGTGCCAGTATGTGCAACCATTTCTGCCCCTCAAACAAAACATTGGGCTGGATGGGAGTGACGCCGTGTCCACCCATAGAGAATATGGTATGGAGGGGGGTGACCACACACAGCACCCTGGATCTTGCCTTCCCCTCTGTACCCTTCATCACTTGCAACTGGGTAAGATAGATATAAACTGTGATTACATGTGAAACCACATGGTTTCTGCAGGGCTGTAGCATCCCATTCTCATCTCTAGGGCAGTGGACCTTGCTAAAAGTCCACATCCACATTATTAATCATATATGGTAGGGGTGGTTAACATAGGAAGCTTGCCTTCTATTGAGTCAGACCCCTGGTCAATCTAGCAATGAACACTTGGGTGTCTCTGAGAAAAACAAAGAGTGCCTTGCAGCATATCCTACCTCACAGAGGTGGAGGTGCAGGCATACAAAGACACACTGATGGCCACCCATGCACACAACCAGGTATACACACACAAACACACAGCAATAGACCCTTCTCTGTTCCTAGTGACAGGCCTCCTCACAAGAACAAGCTCTCTGTTTCCTTACTGCCAGTTGTGAGGATACAGTTGTCTTTGCCAGAGTTATTGGGAAAGGGGAGGCTGAAACCTCTTCATGCCTGCTGTGCTCAGTCCTGATTGAGATGACTGTTCCCCCTGCCCCGCAAATCAACCCACCACCCAACTGACAGCTGGGTGGCTGGGAAAAGTGGTTCATGGACCTGCAGAGTACTCAAAGGCTGCAGGTTGTTGACATGTGGCACACAATTTTGTCCTGGCTTCTGGCTAGAAAACAGCATAGGACATTTGTCAGCCTCCTGCCTTCCAGGGAACATTTGTTTCTGGAATCCATTTATTAAAAACGAAAGGTTTAGCATCAGTCAAGCCTGGTTTCACACTTTTAACACTGAACGCATGGGTGTAGGTTTAACCATACTGCTAGCAAAGCTCATCTACTTGATGCAGGAAAGACTGGGGTCATTCTAGGCCCCAAATACCATTCCTGTACCATTGCATTCTGGCAGTAGAGGCACACAGAACCTCTGGACCTAATCTGGACTGCCAGGCTTTCCAGCCAGCCCAGCCTCCAGAGCATTTTAGAGGTCTGGAGGAAGGTTGTGACCTTCAAACGCACCCCTGGGAGAATCCCCTCCAGGGTATTCCTATTCTCTCTGATCTGAGATGCAAGTGAGGATGAAGATGGTGGGGACCCAGCCTAGGCAAGGAAAAATCATAGAATAGTAGAATTGTAAGGGGCCAAGAAGGCCATCAGGTCCAACTCTCTTCTGTTGAAGGTCACGAATTTACACCATCCCATTCAGATAGCTGTCCAGTTTCTTTTTGAATGTCTCTAGTATGGGAGAGCCCACGACCAATCTATGTTGTAACCCCCCTCATAATCAAGCACGTAGCCAGGGCATGGCTCATCACGAGTAAAAAGCATGATCAGGGTGTCCTGTTCGCATGAGAACAAGAACACGAACACGGATGTGCACGCTACGCAAGGCTGACAACAAAGCAGGCTACGCTCCAGCATTACCAGTATCACCGCAGACGTTATGCCCTTGTACCCACGCTTGCTTGCTTTAGCATGATAAATGTGCAAATGTGCTTTCCCCTATTGTTCCCCTATTGTTCGCTGTCATTCAAGCATAAGTATGGAAGAGTATAAAAATCCTGCCTTCGATCTGCTCAGCACCGCACTCTAACGAGTGACGGTCCCTGCAGGCAGGTAAATAAATCTCTCTCGATAATTCCAACCAGTCTCTGGTCTTGTCCATAAAATCGCGCCATACAACAATCTAGGCAACTGGTTCCACTGTCGTGTTGCTCCAACAAAGACAAAGCTTTTCCTGAGATCCAGCCTGAACCCAGTTTATTGCAACTTGACTTGATTATTCTGCGTCCTACACTCTGGTATTGGCGAGGAGAGATCTTGACCTTCTTCTTTGTGACACCCTTTAAGGTGCTTAAGAGGGATATCATGTTCTTCCAGATGTAGGCCAAAGAGCTTTGTGAAGAGGCCAGGGTTCAAAATTGCTTGACCCATACTGCGAAGAGCATTTTCTGGATAATTGCCTAACTCGAATATCTTGATGGAGTACTATTTTTATTACCATTATTTAGCCAGGCTTTCATCTCTGAGAACAAACTGAAAGATGGATTCTCAGGGTGAATATTTTGCATTTCAACAGGCCACCTTTGGGATGAAGTGAGCTAAAAATTAGAATAAATGAGCTGTGGAGAGTGAGTGAAGCTTGAGTAGACTTTTGTGCCTGGAATGTTGCATGGACTGCCTCTTCTTTAACTGTGTCCTTCCCCTTGGTTTGACAGGCAAGAAGATGGCCTTGGTTCCCTATGACAGCATTGCTCTTTGGGGAATGCAAAAGCTGCATAAATCTTCCTCTGCATACACTTTTGCCAACCGAACTATCCAGATTAAACAGAACTGGAACCAGCTGGGCGTAGCTGCCGTGGTATGGGATGCGGTGTGTATAATTTACGCTTCTTCATTTGCAGCAAATGTTGCTTGAATCCATCAGTAATTCTAGAGAGCAGTGAGGTGTGTGGCAGTTGACAGCGGTCAGTGAGGATGGTAGGCAGCATAAGGCCCTTCAGGCAAAGGAGCCACTCTAGTTCTCTTGTCCTCCTAGTTTTAAATAAGTGTATTATTGCTTTTGAGAGAACAAAACTAAAAGTCATATCTAAACTTCCAGAATGATACAGCACACAACTCACCTAAGTAGAGTGGGAATGTTTTGTCCATAGAGACCCATCTTCCTCAACCTGCAGTCCTTGAGATGCACTGGAAAGCAATTTCTAGCATCTTCAGGCTGGTATAAACTTTCTAGGCCCTTCAAGTTTTGCTAGTTAAAGATGCCCATTGTTAGTCTTTTGTCAAACGCCATCCAATCCAGTGATTATTTGACCCGTTACAACAAGTTACTTGTTCCTGTCCGTGTTTACTAAAAGCATTTTAGTTTTTTCTCTGAAAAGTGCTGTATTCAGTGGAGCTTTGTTTAGGAGTAAAGTGCTGTGCTGTGCTTTGCTTTGTTTTTCTTCCAATTTAAGTTTATTTTATCCTTGTGTGTGTGTGCGAGTGGGTTTTTGTCTGGGGGAACTGGGCGAGTGAGAGGAACTGCAGGAGAAACAAGGCAGAGGACCAAGGTAAGGTCTTGGAAGGGATACCAATGGCAGACCAGGAGATGGCCTTGGCAGGAGTCACGGGTGTTGCTGTCCGCTGCGACCACTGCGACATGTTCGCCCTTCTTCCCCAGGAGAGGCAGGGATACACGTGCCCTCGGTGCAAGATGGTGACCCTGCTAGAGGAGGAGGAGAGGTGCCTGAGGGCCAAGAGAGCTCTCCAGGCGCCCCCGGAGCAGCCCCCCTCTGGACAGAGGGTTGAGGGAGAGACCACGGGAGGAGCAGCTGTGGAAACATGGAAACAGCACGGCCTCCTCCTTCTCCTGGCACCAATCTGGAGCTGGGAAAGAGGTTCTCTCCACTTGGGGAGGCTGGGGCTGATGAGGCCTTGGGGAACCAGCAGGACCCCCAGCCTGGGATGTCAGGCGGCAATGGGGCCACTGCAGGAGAGGCGAGGGCCAGGACATGGCTGCCCACCAGCACCGGAAAAGTACAGCGGCGGGTGATTGTTGTTGGGGACTCCCTGCTGAGGGGCACTGAGGCGGCAGTGTGCCTCCCCAACCTGGAGGCAAGGAAGGTTTGCTGCCTGCCGGGCGCACGCATCCGGCATGTGAAGGACAGAGTAGAGTGTCTTGTTCGCTCCGGGGGTCACCAGCCGCTCCTGGTGATCCATGTGGGCACAAACTACGTGGCCAGGCAGGGTGTGGTTGGGACCACCAGGGACTTCGAGGCCTTGGGGAAGAAACTCAGGGAGTGGAAGGCCCAAGTGGCCTTCTTGTCAATCTTACCTGTCTGAGGATTTGGGCCAGGAAGGGACAGGAGGGCCTCCGAGGTGAACGACTGGCTTAGGGTGTGGTGCCAGAAGGAATGCTTCGGGCTCCTCGACCACGGCACTCGTTTTCTTGCCATTGGACTTCTGGCAAGGGACAGGTTACACCTCATGAGGATGGGGAAAAGATCCTTTGGAGATACTCTAGCGAGCTTTGTCCAGAAGACTTTAAACTGAGCCGGGGGGGGGGGGCGTTCAGGCCCCCCAGTAACGTGTCTGCACTGGACAAGTGTGGGGAGAGGATCAGGGCTCTGGGAGCAGGGTTTTAGAGGTACTGCAGGGACTGACAGGACTCCTACAGAGAGGGCCCAGGTATCAAGGAGGATGGGAGGAAGGAGGAGGCTGGGGGCTCCAAGGAAAGGAAGCAGTGGGAAGGAGTTGAGGTGCATGTACACCAATGCTAGGAGCATGGGTAATAAGCAGGAAGAGCTTGAAGCTCTCCTGGGAATAGGAGGGTATGATCTGGTGGGAATCACAGAAACTTGGTGGGATGAAAGGCAAGTCTGGAATGTTAACATAGAAGGGTATCACCTTTTTAGAAAGGACAGGAAGGGAAAGAGAGGTGGGGGAGTGGCTTTATATGTCAGGGAAGGGATAGGATGCAGTGAGATAGAATGCAGCACAGATGGGGATTGGGTAGAGGCACTCTGGGTGAAACTTAGGGGTTTTGACAGGGAAAGAGACCTGACGGTGGGGGTATGTTATCACCCTCCAGGTCAACTTGAGACCCTGGATGATGTCCTGACAGACCAGATTCTAAGGATATCTCAGGGGAAGGACACAGTAATTATGGGAGATTTCAATCTCCCGGATATTACTTGCGAGACTCACTCGGCGGTGACAGCCAGGTCACGTCGCTTCCTAGAAGCTATAGAGGGAGGGTTTTGCACACAGAGGGTCCGAGAGGTGACGAGGGGGGGAAACATCCTTGACTTGGTCTTGACCAATAGGGAGGAGCTGATAGATGAAGTACAGATTGGGGGAGCTCTGGATATGAGTGATCACTCCATCCTTTGCTTTGAGATCAGGGGACTGGGGACATGCAGCAGGTTGAGCACTAGAAGCTGGGACTTCAAGAGGGCCAACTTTGGCCAACTGAAGGCCAGACTGGGGAAAGTCTCCTGGGATAGGTTACTGGAAGGTAAGCGAGTTGAGGAGGGGTGGATAGCACTCAAAAGGGAGGTTTTGGAGGCGCAAGCCTTAACGATCCTTCTAGTTAGTAAGGTGGGGAGGCGGAGGAGAGCACCACCACGGATGTGAAAGGAGGTGGTTAAAGGGATTAGACGAGAGAGGAACCTCTGAAGGAAATGGGTACTGGGGGAAATAGACAAAAGGGTATACCGGGAGGAGGAGGCCCGTTGCAGAAGGATTCTTCACAAGGCTAAGGCAGATTACGAGCTGAGACTTGCCAAGAATATCAAGAGCAACAAAAAGGGCTTCTTTCAGCATGTAAATAGGAAGAGGAAGG